AAAAAAAAAAAAAAAAGATTCTGATCTGATCCTGGACCGTGTTTGTGTGGCTTGAGATTAAGAGCTCCAAGTCTTTTGCAGGGTGGTGGGGGGGGTGGCATGATGTGTGTCTAATAAGATCACGGAGCAAAAGTCGAGATTCACTTGGCACTCACCGCTAGATTTTAGATGAATGGAATTTCACTCAGAAAGGGAGTTTAAAGTAATGCAAATGTTGGCCAATCTCTGGAAAATGAGAGAACTGTGAAACACGGCCAGGCACAGTGGTACGTCCATAATCCCAACACTTCGGAAAGCTGAGGCAGGAGGGTTGCTTGAAGCTAGGAGTTGAGAGACGCCTGGGCAACCCAGTGAGACCTCATCTCTAAAATACTAACCCACATGTTGGCGTGCACCTGTAGTGCCAGCTACTCAGGAGGCGGAGGCGGGAGGAGCAGCTGAGCCCCGGTGGTCAAGCTGTGGTTGCATCACTGCACTCCAGCCTGGGCGTCAGAGCCAGACCGCATCTCAAAAAAAAAAAAAAAAAAAAAAGTCCAACAGTAGTGGGTGTTCATTAACAATACTAGTGTCAACTTTGGTATACAATCCCCCACTGCTAAATTTGGCAAAAAGAAAAAAAAAAGTGGCCCAGTGTGGTGGCTCATGCCTGTCATCCCAGCACTTTGGAAGGCTGAGGCAGGCGGATCACCTGAGGTCAGGAATTTGAGACCAGCCTGACCAGAATGGTGAAACCCCGTCTCTACTAAAAATACAAAAAATTAGCCAGGGGTGGTGGTGGGCGCCTATAATCCCAGATGCTTGGGAGGCTGAGGCAGGAGAATCCCTTGAGCCCGCAGGGCGGACACTACAGTGAGCCGATGTCGCGCCATTGCACTCCAGCCTGGGCAACAAGAGCAAAACTCTGTCTCAAAAAAATCTCGGAGCCAGGTGTGGTGGCTCACACCTGTAATCTCAGCCCTCTGGAGGCCAAGGCAGGCGGACCACCAAAGGTTGGGAGTTCAAGACCAATCTGGCCAACATGGTGAAATCCTGTATCTACTAAAAATACAAAACTTAGCCAGGTATGGTGGCATGTACCTGTAATCCCAGCTACTCAGGAGGCTGAGGCAGGAGAATTGCTTGAACCTGGGGAGGCTGAGGCTGCAGTGAGCCGAGATTGTGCCACCGCACTCCAGCCTGGGCAACAGAGCAAGACTCCATCTCACACACAGAAAAGACAATTCAGTTCATTCTCTCAAGCATGCTCTGCCTGTGTCCTTCATTCACCAAGTTTTCCTCACCCTGCTCCTTGCCAGACGGTCTGGCCACCAGCAGGGATATTAGAATGAACCAAATGACCTGCCTGGGGGAGGTGTCTGTCCTAAAAAGGCAGCCGACTACGAACAAATTCAAGTGCACCTTAGTTCCAAAGAAAAAGCAAACTGGGGGCTTGGCGCGGTGGCTCACACCTGTAATCCAAGCACTTTGGAGGGCTAGGCGGGCGGATCACCTGAGGTCGGAAGTTCAAGACCAGCCTGACCAACACGGTGAGACCCGTCTTTAAAAAAAATAATACTAAAAAAGAAAAAAGAAAAAAGCAAACTGGGAGGAGTGTTGCAGGAAGGCATGCGGGCTGTGGTTACAGAGGCTGGGGCGGCGGTGAGGGAGAACCAGCTGCGAGTGGCAGGGAACGCAGAGCCCGTGCCGGCCTCGGCTTCCAAAACACCAGAGCTGGAGGGCTAGCTGGTGGCAGCTTCTGGAATGTCCTTGGGCTACGGAGTCTCTGTTGTAGCAGGCCCGGCTTCACTGCAGTCTTCAGCAGCTCACCCCCAGGCCTGACGCCCGCGGCACGGGAGCTGTTCCTTGCACCGTGGACATGGGGGCGGTGTGCTGCCAGGAGCTCTTCTGCCCCAGGTGTGGTGACAGCAGGATGTTTCTAACATCCACTGTCAAGACACCACCGTCCTCTGGCTCCGGCCGGCCCTCCAATCCCGTCAGGTGGGCGGCAAGCTGACGCTTCCCACGTGGGCAAAGGCCAGCAGTCCCCGTTGCTGGAGTGTTGTAAAGGCACCAGTTCTAACAGAAACTACACTAGCCAGAGTACAGTGAGAGGCTGGGAAACGAGCGGAACGCTTCCAAGTTTTACTTCCTGAAAATACCCACTCCCTCTCCCTCTGTCCTGCAGAGAGGCCAGGTTTCTCGGCTACTTACTCAAAAGCAGGAGCAGAGACTGTTCTGACAAACGACGCCACACAGCTCTGTGCGGTCCACGACTCGTGTGTGCAGGAAGCCACCCTGGACCGTGGCAGCGAGGGAGCCGGCCAAGGCAGCCCACGCAGGTTCCCAGGCCCCATCTCCCCACCACCTCTTGGAGCCTCTGGGGTTTCTACGGACATCTGAGAACCACGTTACAAGTTTTAACTTGCACAAGTTTTACACCACACGAAAAGTTACCCTGTAGCAGCTCCTCCCTAAGCCCTGCAGCCTTCCAGGGCTCCAGAAACACCGTCTGTGGCCACTCCTTGGCTCGGAGGCACTCCTACCCAGAAAGCACCTGCAGGCTTTGCTGCGCTTACCGCCACCCCGTCACTCCACCTGCGCACGCTGCACCACCTCTGAAATCAGCACATTGCGCGAGGAAAGAGCAGGCTGTGTGACTACTGGGTAAACGCGGACGATTCTCAGGGAGGAAGGTCTACACCTGGAAAAGCTGCCCATTCAGACGGCCTTTGAGACCACTCCTCCCCGGCGAGAAGGAAAACACGGTGCTAAGAAAGATGCCAGTTCTTTATTACCAGCGCAGCGGGCGTGCACGCGCAGACGGGCTCCTCGGGGCAGGCTGCGCCCTTGCCTCGTCCCGTCTGTCAGTGAGTCCTGGTACCCTGCGCAGAAACCCGGCGGCCTCTGGGAGGCTCGGATAGGCTGGCTTTGGCTGTTTCCCGGCTCAGGGCCGGCTCCTCTCAAGGAACCTGCGGGGCCGCACGTGCCAAGAGCCCCTGAGGAGGGGGACCCGGCCGACCCGGCCTCCTGATGGCAGCTGCGCCCCAGCGCTCAGCACTTCACCAGCTTCCCGGCTTGCAGTGGTCAGGAAGCGCACTGACCCCACTGACTGGCACGCTCAGTTCTGAAGGAACGCCAACTGTGTGGGTGCGCTGGCGACAGTGCGCTGGTTCTACAACCAAACAGCTGCTTACACTAAATTTGTGTCCAAACTAACACGCGTGGGAAAGGGCGCTGGCGGCAGCTCCTGGGTCCGTCCGGCCAGGCAGCGGCTCTACCGGAAGAGCCGGTACGTCCTGGGCAGGCGCCCATCCTTGCTGGACAGGGCGGTCTGGATGTGCTCATAAGTGGGCAGGTTGGTCAGGTCGCCCAGGGCGGCCACTGCCGGCTTCCCTCGGAGCATCTTAGAAGCAACTCTCTTCACATCTTCCGGCTTCACATTGCCTAGTGCAGAGGCAAGCATGTGTCAGACAAACGTGTCACGGCCTCCACGCCAAGGCGACGTCACAAAATGCATGGGGGGAGCTGGTATACGCCACTCACTCACCCTGCACTGCTTCTGGGGGCTCCTGGGCCCAAAGGCAGCCACTGGCCGTGGCCAAGGGTGTGTCCAAAGTGACAGAAGTGAGTTCTCACTAAATGAGGACGTGGCAATGATTTAAAACAATTTGTGGCCGGGTGTGGTGGCTCACACCTGTAATCCCAGCACTTTGGGAGGCCGAGGCGGGTGGATCACGAGGTTAGGAGTTCAAGACCATCCTGGCCAACACAGTGAAACTCTGTCTCTACTAAAAATACAAAAAATTAGCCAGGCATGGTGGTGGGTGCCTGTAATCCCAGCTACTCGGGAGGTCGGGGCAGGAGAATCTCTTGAACCCAGGAGGCAGAGGCTGCAGTAAACCAAGACTGCACCATTGCACTCCAGCCCGGGTGACATGCAAGACTGTCAACAACAACCACAACTATGAGAGAAACGATTTTTTTTTTTTTTTTTTTTTTTTTTTTTTTTTTTTTTTTTTTTTTTTTTTTTTTTTTTTTTTTTTTTTTTTTTTTTTTTTTTTTTTTTTTTTTTTTTTTTTTTTGAGATGGAGTTTCACTCATGTTACCCAGGCTGGAGTGCAATGGCGCGATCTCGGCTCACCGCAACCTCCGCCTCCTGGGTTCAGGCAATTCTCCTGCCTCAGCCTCCTGAGTAGCTGGGATTACAGGCACGCACCACCATGCCCAGCTAATTTTTTGTATTTTTAATAGAGACGGGGTTTCACCATGTTGACCAGGATGGTCTCGATCTCTTGACCTCGTGATCCACCCGCCTCGGCCTCCCAAAGTGCTGGGATTACAGGCTTGAGCCACCGCACCCGGCCTGAGAGAAACGATTTTTAAATGCAGGACGCACCCACCCAAGAGGAGTTATATTCAGAGAAGAACGAGCTCCTTGTCTCATGAGTTAACTTTACAATGGGTCTGCAGAAAAAACCCCAAGCCCTGAACGGTGCATGGAAAGAAGGTGGAGTCAGACAGAGGGGGATGGATGGCCGCACCCAGGAACCCCAGGACAGGAGTGATGGGACCAGGTGGGTCTGTTTTCTGTGCACTCTCTGAAGGGTCTCAGTAGGGGTTCCTGAGTAGGAAGGACAAGGACCTATGGGGTGGGGGGGCAAGGGCCTGTCCCCCGCAGGACTCCACCCTGGCCAGGAGATGCCCACGGGTGACACCATATGCCCGAGCCACCCCAACTTAAGCAGCCTGTGCCAGGGTTTGAGCCTGGGGTCCAGGAGAGTCCCATGCACACACGACTGGAAGTCACTCCTAAGAAACCTGGGGCCGAGACTCCTGCTGCAGCCACCGCAGCACAGCGCCATTCCGAGCCTCGGCTGCTCCTCACACAACATGGCAGTGCTCTACTGAGTCCCCTCACCCACTAACTTCAGTCCTCTTTAGCAACTCAGGGCAGTACTGACAGCCCCTCCAGGGGCACAAACAGCGGGCTCACCTGCCAAGGCGCCCACAGGTACACAGCGGGGCCGAGACGTGAGATCAGGTCTGCAACCCCACAGCCTGCCCTTGGCCGCCCCTGGTCACCCCGGGTGAGGACAAACGGCAAAGGCCCCGGCTTCCCGGTGTGGTAGACACAGCATGGGCCCACCACTGCCTGCGGGAGCGCGAGATGGCCGCCTCTGAGCCTGGCCGAGCCTGCAGCAGCCCCACACTGCCCTCGGTACTCACGGATGAGCGTGCACAGCTCGTGCGGCAGCTTTCTGGAACGAGTGGCCAGCACCTGCCTCCCCACGTCCTCGAAGATCACGGGCCTGGACTCCAGGTTCATCATAAGCATGGACGTCAGCTGCGTCTTGGCTCGCTCCAGCTCCACCTGGGGCCAGGGTCAGGTGAGGGGGGCGCACACCCACCGCATGCTGCCTTCCCTCCCCACTTGAGCGATGGCAAAAGGCCATCTCTGTGCCCAAAGCTGAAAAGAAGAAAGGGCAGGGCCTCCCTCCGGGTACCGGGTCCCAGGCCCAAGTCACAAGCAACCCTGCCGGTGTCCCCTTCGGGTTTTCTAGGGAAGGGCTGTGCTGCATGTTACCAGGCTTCTACCGCAATCAAAGTAAGGGAGAAATGTGCCTCTCTCGAGTTCCTTCTCACTGTGTGGCACGCAGCAGGAGAGGGCAAAGCAGTAAACTCCCAGACCCCAAAGTGGCCACACAGCAACATCGGGGGAGAACAAATGAAACACGGTTTCTGGGGCTTCCCCAGACGCCCCGGTGCAGGGCCCAGGCAGCTGAGTTTGGCAACGACCCTGAGAGGTTCTCGGGGAGAGCAGGAGTCGCAGGCGGCGGTCTCAGGGCCCAGGCAGGGGTGCTGAGAATGACATGCTGGCAGACCCAGGAGCCAGCACACTGAAACAAGCACCAAAACTGACAGGCCTCGGAGGTTCTACGTTATTAATAGACAGGGGATCTCACTATGTTGCCCGGGCCAGTCTTGAACCCCTAGGCTTGAGGGATCCCCCCACCTTGGTCTGCCAAAGTGCTGGGATTACAGGCATAAGCCACTGCATGTGGCCTCTCTACCGTTTTTTTAAGTAATTTTTTTTTCTAAGTAAAATAATTTTAATTTAGACAGGTCTTTTTCAACTTTAGGCAAATACCTAAATATATTTCAAGTGGACTTCACGGTAGTGGAGAGAACGGTTTCTAGCAGTGCACTAGTGGAACTGAAGAGTAGTTTCAAACACAACTTTATTTCTTGAATAACGCCTCTTTTCCTGAGAGGCCGAGGTGGGTGGATCACCTGAAGTCAGGAGTTCGAGACCAGCCTGGCCAACATGGTGAAACCCCGTCTCTACTAAAAATACAAAAATTAGTCACGTGTGGTGGCAGGTGCCTGTAATCCCAGCTACTCGGGAGGCTGAGGTAGGAGAATCACCTGAACCCAGGAGGCGGAAGCTGTAGGAAGCTGAGATGGCACCACTGCACTCCAGCCTAGGCAACAGAGCAAATCTCCATCTCGGGGGGGGGGGGAATAAATTAGCTAGGGGTGGTGACACACACCTGTAATCCCAGCTACTCAGGAGGCTGAGGTAGGAGAATTACCCAAACCTGGAAGGCGGAGGTTGCAGTGAGCTGAGATCGCGCCACTGCACTCCAGCCTGGAAGGCAAAGTAAGACTGTCTCCAAAAAAAAAAAAACTTACTTATCTGTACCAGCTCTGGTCCAGGAAGTAACAAGTTTTCTAAACATATAAAACATCAAAAACTAAGCTTAAACAATTAGTAAACAGGCAGGCGCGGTGGCTCACGCCTGTAATCCCAGCACCTTGGGAGGTCGAGGCTGGCAGATCACCTGAGGTCAGGAGCTCCAGACCAGCCTGGCCAA